CTTGAAGAAATCTGTCAAGTCAATAGCTGACCACTCAGTTAACCTAGCAGAGAGTTTAATAGTGAAACATTCAAAGGATGTTTACTATGAAATTCATTAAGAAAGCAAAAAGAAGTCATGTGGGAAAGGAAAATATGGGCTGGGGAGATAGCTCAGTGGCATAAGTACCTGCCTGGCAAGGCAAGGTCCCAAGTTCGATCTCCAGTACTGCAAGCCATGATGGGCCCCAAACTCTAGACATGCCATGCTGACCCCAGAACCTGGCATGGTGGTACATGCCAGTAATCCCAATGCTGGGCAGGCTGAGACAGGGGGATCACTATGAGTCAGAACTGCATCATAAAAATTTTAAAAGAGAGATCCATCAAACACTAGGCCCTGTGAGTGTGTGGTGTGTGGAAGAGCTTCTGCTCTGTCCTGCACCCACTAGTCCAAGCCCAGGCCCACCGCGTCAGAGAGGCCTTCACCTGCATTCTCTGGACCTCTCCCGCCCATCCAGAGACAGCACAGCCCGCCCTGTAAGTGAGAACTTCTGCTACACTCTTGGGAGTCCTGCAGACCTGCTAAAGTACAGCCCCAGTGAGTGTGTGGGAAAGCTTCTGCGCTGTCTTGCACCCCCTCCTCATACCCTTCCAGATCCAGCCCAGGCCTGGCATATAGGCTTCAGGTGAAACCCTGAAGCTAAAATGCCTGCAGTGAGACTAGGGTCAAAACCACACAGATAATCCAGGAACAGAACATCTTACCAGAAGGGCACAGCAGTCCCACCTCCAAGGGCAACAACAATAAGGAGCAGAGCACAATAGTCAGACCCAAGCCAGCCACAACTGCATGAACTAGTACTTGGTATATCAGTTATTGAATTTCATTAGGTAAGAAGAATATAACTGCACCAAAGCTCTACGCCAAAGGTCAGAGGTCAGTATTATATGAAATGATAAAGACAAGGAGCAAAATGCAATCTCAGGCCTCGAGCCCACCCATAAGAAATGCAGAGGACACTAACTCAGCTGAAATATATGAATTAATAGCATCAGAAGCAAATAAACAACAGCAGAAAGATATAGAGGAACTCAGAGCAGAATTAATTTCACGAACAAAAAAAGAAATCTCTGAATTTATAGCATCTGAACTAAAGAATCAAATGCAGAAACATATGGAGGAAACACAATGCCCAACCAGAACAAGTGCAGTGGACACTAGCTCAGCTGAAATATATGTATTACTAGCATCAGAAGTAAATAAGCAACAGCAGAAAGTTTTAAAAGAACTCCAAGCAGAATTAATTTCTAAAATGAAAAAAGAAATCTCTGAACTCATAGCATCTGAACTAAAGAATCAATTTCAGAAACATATGGAAGAAACCCAATCTGAAAAAAAAACTCTGCAGTAAGAGAATTAATAACTACTTCTAAAGAAGATATTGATTTACAAAAAACCAGAAGATTAAAAAAATGATGGAATCCTTGAATGAGTAATACAGGAAAGAAATAGATCACATGAAGCAGAGTCAAAGAGATGTAGGGGAACTTAAAATCTCAATCACAAGCCTGTAAAACCGTATGAGTGAAAGTGAAAATAGAGTTTCAGATCTTGAAGATGTTGGTGTAGCTAGTGAAAAAGTATGAAAAGATCTCTTAAAAACAACTAGGATGCAGGAAAAAATAATTCATCACCTGCAAGATGATGCAAACATGGAGAATGTAAGACTAATAGGTATCAATGAGAAAGAAGGAGTCAATACAAGTGATATAAAAAGAATATGGGCAGAAGTAATAGCACAAAACTTCCCAAATATGAAGAGACAATCTGATATTCAGGTAACCAAAGCATACAGAATGCCAAGTAAACTCAACCCAATTAAAAACACACTGAGACATATAAAAGTCAAGATCCCAGAAATCCAGCGCAAGAATAATATACTGAAAGTGGCTAGAGAAAAAAAGCAGATCACATTCAAAGGAAAACCCATCAGAATTATGGCCAACTTCTCTTCACAAACCATGAAGGCAAGAAGAGCATGGAGCAAGTCTTCTATGAATACAAATTCCAGCCCAGACTACTATACCCTGCAAAACTCTCTTTCAAGTTTGATGGAGAAGTGAAATACTTGCATGACAAAGAACAACTAAAGAATTTCATGATGGCAAAGCCAACCCTACACAGACTACTGAAAGATGTTCTAGAGAGGTTCCAAAATGATCAGAACTGCACCAATGAGAACAGAAGGAACCCACTAAATAGGGCAAACAATTAAACACAGGAGAAAAAGGAGTTAGAAAACAGCAGGTAAATAACATGTCAATCATAAGTCAACACATCTCGATTATAACCATCAATGTAAATTGACTCAATTCACCAATTAAAAGAAATAGATTGGCACAGTGGATTAGAAAACAAGACCCAACAATATGCTGTATGAAAGAAACACACTTAACACATAAAGAAACTCATAGGCTGAAAGTCAAAGGATGGAACACAATACTACATGCCCCAGCACCTCAGAAAAAAGTGGAGGTAGCCATCCTGTTCTCAAGCAGTCTCAACTTCAAACCAAAAATGATCAAACCAAATAAAGAAGGCCACTATATACTGTTTAGGGGAAAAATTCAAGAGGAAGAGATAACACTCATACATACGTGTGCGCCAAATGCAGGAGCACACAACTATATAAAACAAACATAATAGACATGAAAAATCTAATATCCAATACAACAATCTTAACAGGCGACCTTAACACCCACTTATCCCAAAAAGATAAGTAAACTAGACAAAAAAAAATTAGCAAAGAAGTAGCAGAACTGAACCAGAGCTTGGAAAAAATGGACTTGGTAGACCCAGCCACAGTGGATTATACATTTTTTGCAGCTGCACATGGATCATTTTCTAAAATAGTCCACAGGTCATGCTTAAGTATATGCAAGAAAACAGAAATTATCCCATGCATGTTATCTGACCACAGTACAATGAAACTGGAAATAAATGACAAAAGAAACCAGAAAAAAACCTAAGTACATCGAAATTAAACACCTTTCTCAGCAATCAATGGTTACAGATGAAATTAAACAATAAATTAAACAATATGTACAATTCAATGACAATTCATCCGCAACTTATCAGAATTTATGGGACGTGATGAAAGCAGTTCTGAGAGGGAAATTCATAGCTGTGAACTCAAACATTAGGAAAACAGAATGGGAACAAATAAACACCCTAATGCTGTACCTCCAACATGTAGAAAAGGAAGAGCAAACCAAACCCAGAGCACAAAGACAGGAAGAATCATAAAGATTAGAGCAGGGGCTGGTGAGATGGCTCAGTGGTCTAAAGCACCTACTTACAACAAGCTTAGCAAAGCAATCCCCCAGCACCACATACCAGCCAGCCCCGCCCCGTGGTGGGCTGAGCTGGCCACACACACACACACACGCGCGCGCGCACACACACACACACACACACGCACACACATAAATAAATTTAAAAAAATAAATAAATAAATAAATAAAGATTAGAGCAGAAATTAATTCAATTAAGATGAAGAAACAGTTCAAAGAATTAATGAATCCAAAAGCTGGTTCTTTGAAAGATTAAATAAAATCAATAAGCCCCTAGCTAACTTCATCAAAAAGAGGAAAGAAAAAATTCAAATACAAGCAATAAGGAGTGAAAAGGGTGTATCTACTACAGACCCAGTGGAAATTTAGAAGATTAACAATAGCTACTATGATAGTCTTTACTATCACTCAGTATAAGACACAGAAGAAATGGACAGATTCCTAGAAAGGTACAAATTACCAAAACTGAATCAAGAAGATATAACAGGGACTGGCAGGATAGTTCAGCAGTCTAAAGCGCCTGCTTAACCAAGCTTAGGCAAGCCTAAGGGACCACGGTTCGATCCCTGGCACCACATGCTGTGCCAGCCTTGCTCCCCGGGTCGGCTGAGTTGGACACAAAAATAAAATAAAAGATATTTTTAAAAAAAGAAGAAGAAGATATAACAACTCTCAATAACCCAATGACAGCCAATGAAATATGAAATGCTGACAAAGAAAAGTCCAGGTCCTGATGGATTCACAGCTGAATTCTACAAGAAATTTATAGAAGATATAATCCCTACTCTCCTCAAATTCTTCAATGAAATTGAAAAGGAAAGAGTTCTCCCAAAATCATTCCTGGAGGCAAGTATTATACTAAAACCAAAACCAGGGAAAGATGCAACTAAAAAAAGAACTAAGGCCATTCTCCCTCGTGAACATAGATGCAAAAATCCTCCATAAAATCCTAACAAATAGAATACAGCAAATCATCAAGAAGATCATACACCATGACCTGGTAGGATTTATTCCGAGAATACAAGGATGGTTCAATATTCAAAAATCTATAAATGTAATATACTATATCAATAGAGCGAAATCTAAAAACCACATGATCATTTCCATTGATGCAGAAAAGGCTTTTGACAAAGTCCAACACTCATTCATGTTCAAACTCCTACAGAAAATTGGAATAGAAGGCCTCTACTTCAATTGGATAAAAGCCATCTATGACAACCCAATGGCTAATGTAATTCTCAAGGGGGAAAAACTGAAATCTTTTACTCTCAGATCTGGTGCAAGAAAAGAATGTCCTCTATCACCCCTCCTATTCAATATAGTTCTGGAATCATTACCTAGAACCATTAGACAAGAGGGAAAAATAAAAGGAACAAGAATAGGTAAAGAAGAAGTGAAACTATCATTATTTGCAGATGACATGATACTTTATTTGGAAGATCAAAAAACTCCATCAATGGGCTGGAGAGATGGCTCAGTGGTCTAAAGCACCTACTTGAAACAAGCTTGGCAAAGCACAGGGACCGCGGTTCGATCCCCAG